CGGGGCCGCGATCTCGATTTTTAAGAGAAACATAAGACTAGCAGCGCAATAAACATTCAGAAATCACGAAAACAAATATTTCCGGGATCACAAGCACACGAAATTAACAATCGAGAGACAAAAAAAGGTCCCATGACATTCTCGCTAAGGCTTTTGTTCAGTCACTAACAGCGGCCAGCCTTCGAAGCCGTTCCTTCCGAACGGTCGTGCTCGGATGCCGGCTGTTCGGATGGAGGGCCATTCGAATAGAGCTTATCTGTGTGTGTGTCTGTGTGTGTGAGAGAGAGAGAGAGAGAGAAATCATATATCTTTTATATGAGTATGTAAGCATGGATGTGTGGACATATGTAGATCTATATCGATGCCTGCAAACTGCATCTATGAATGCATCAATGCAGGTATATGGGTGGATCTGTATCCATGTAAGTTTCCTTCCCTGAAAACGTGAGTCGGGCTCGGCCTTGACGCTCCAGCCAGCACGCACTCACACCACCGTCCGCGCCAAACGCTGGAATCAAATCAAAATAAATAATCTATTTACACGACCTTTCTCTCCCTCAGTGACTACCAGACACGCCGCAGCTGCTTCACACAGTGACTTTTATCCATATTTTTTTTTTTTATCGGCACGGACAAGGTCCATGATCTACAATTATCATAACAGATAGCAAAGTATATTTACAGAGCCATTGAAGGCCTTAAAAATCCAACGCCGATTTTCAGTCGCTGTTCAAAAATATCTGGAAAGGTGTAAGGCTTTGACTCATTTCTTCCCTCCCGTCCTCTGCCTTCCGCGCCCAACCCTCCCGCCTACTCCCTCTTTCCCTAGAGGGTGTCCCGACCCGAGAACGGCGGGAACGTGTCGTGGATGAGCTTGGTGTTGGTGAACTTCCACTCCCACTTCTGGTCGGGGTTGGACGCGTCGCAGTTGGCCATGTGGACGGTGCGCGCCTTGGGGCTCGCCTCCACGCACCAGCCGTGCAGCTCGCTCTGGATCTGCTGCGTGTCCTGCAACCACCACAAGCGCATGCGTTACTACGGATGTGTGTGAGCGTGTGAGTTGTTGCATGTTTTGATGTTTTCAGATTTTACTTAATACATCCAGAAGGGTTGGGTTGTATACAACACAGCGCGAGGATAGCCAGAGGTAATAATACAGGAGAGGGAAGAGAGTAATCAGAAAAATGAAAGGCGGCAGAGGTGGGAAAGCAGATAGTTGGAGAACTAAAGATAAACATCGCCCAGCGCTTTTGACGGTCATTTTGCGTTTCCTTATGAACTTGAGGGACGCCTTCCTGTCGAAGCGACCGGTTTCCTTTGATTATTTTCTGTCTTCCTCTTGAGGTTCTCTTTATTAATAGATAAAGTGAAAGCACATTTTTTTACAATATAGAAGCCTCATTTATATTATAATATTTATCTTAATGCATTTAGATGCATGTCCCTGGAACCTAAATTGTTTGTGTTCGAGGGAGCAGTGGTACTCAGCCAGAGTCATAATGCCGGACCATTCGTGTACGGAAGGGAATGGGAGGAGAGGGAGGGAGAAAGAGAGAGAGAGAGAGCAGACTCACGGGATCGTATCTCCACGACTGCGCAGGAACGTGGTGGGAATTCTGGCAGTTGAACTGCGACGGCGCTCTGTCTCTGCTGTTGGGCAGCATCCAGCAGAACTGTTCGTTCTGGATCTTAATCGTTTTCCTCCAGCAGAGAGAGAAGTACTGTTGCGGAGAGAGGGCAGAACAGCTCAAAACTACTATGGTGACAGCAGAAGCGTGCTTATTGTAAAAAATGTAACGGGTCTTTATTCAACGGTCGAAGAATCAGCTGACCTCCCTGGCGAGGGCGTGAATTGACAGCATCTAAATCAGACTGAGAAATAACGCGCATAACGAGTCTCCTCGTTTTGTCTTTACCAAGGAGGTTCATTGAAAGCCTATTGTAATGGTTCTTGATATCTTATGCCCACGTCGGTTAATGACTTGACTGCGGTCAGAAGCTCCGAGATTTACCTGACTGTATCCTCCGTGGCAATTGTACATGATGATGTCCCCGTACTCCCTGGAGCCGTTGTCCAGGCACAGCGTCGGGGAGGCCTTGCTCCGGATCTGCGGAGGCGCAGGGGAAGCAATGGCGCTTGAACAGAGCTGGCAGAAATGCTTTACTACTGCTGGATATATACAGGCATTATAATATGCAAACACATGTATGTATATTCATATATGTGTATATGCTTATACACATATGCATGTGTGTGTGTGTGTGTGTGTGTGTGTGTGTGTGTGGTGTGTGCGTGTGTGTGTGTGTGCGTGTGCGTGTGCGTGTGCGTGTGCGTGTGTGTGTGCGTGTGCGTGTGCATGTACATGTGTATGCGAATGTGTATTTTATGTGTATGTGAATGTGTATTTTATGTGTATGTGCATGTGTATGTGAATGTGTATTTTATGTGTATGTGAATGTGTATTTTATGTGTATGTGCATGTGTATGTGAATGTATTTT